ACACCCCACAATAGCAAAATGGGCATGTTACAGTCAGAAACTAAGAAGAACAAGACTGTAGCCAAGACACTGTGCACAGCATGGAACTCGTTATGGACCTCTGTAGGCTGGGTTCCTGCCAAGCCAAACCAGAAGGTATCTACACTACACTCTCCTGAGTTGGAAAATTTATTTTGATATCAAGAAATTAAATGCAGAAATTAAATACCAAACAACATTTTTGGTGATACTCCAACAGCAGCAATAGTGAGTGTTATTTTAAGCTGCTATTACAAAACATGTCTGGCCAAGGGAAGTAGAAGACAAGTCTGATGGACAAGTCACACCAGAAAGACACACACCAGAATTTCAGGAGTGAGATTATTCTGTTTCATTGGGCTTCTTGCACTGGTTTGGTGGAAACTTGGGACTCTACAAGAAATATTATGATCAGCAGGATGGGTGGAATATAACAAAAAGAGGGCTCAAATCACAAGACTTTAAATTTGTATAAAACATCAAGCCAAAAAATTGAAACATAAGTTAAGATTCTTAAGTCTGTAAGAGAAACAATCACCATTTTCCATAGGAATAAAATTCAAACTGTCCAAGTGCATCCTGATGTTTCCATTGCCTATTATATTTCAGGGTTCATGAGTGAGCTCAAAAAATAATGCAGGAGCTGTCCTTGCTTTAAGGGATATTGCCATAGGATGCAGCAGCAAATGGGATGGGACGTCTGGCAATGGGGAATGTTTTTGTAGTGTCGACTCATTTATTTGTGGGGGACTGTGTAGCACCCTGCCAAAAAACTAGGTGAAAGATGAAAACACATTAGCTTCCTCACAGGAGACTCCATAGGTCTTTGGGGGTCATTATAATGTCTGTCTTTGCTTTTGTATTGCTTAACTTCATCACATCCAGACTCTTTACACATCCCATGGGAGAGTTGTAATGATTGCATGGCTGATATCACCACGTCTCTCAGTGGTGTGACTCAAGTTTGCAAATTTATGTGTCATTGCACCTGCTGAGTGCACCAGGCTACAGAAAGCATTCTCTTTCTTCTTTCCTGCTTCTCAATGGCTCCACGAACTCCACTGACTTGTGCAGTAGCTCATGGATCTCTCCAAAGAAAAAGTGCATACGTAACACAACATCAATATCTTGGTCTGTGCAGTCAGAGTGCCACACACCTTCCTCCAAATCATAAACCACACAATTGTTTAGGTTGGAAAAGGTTATTGAGTCCCATTTTTACCCCAGCACTGCTGTGTTCACCACCAAGCCACACTCACATCTTTTGGACGTTTCCAGGGATGGCAATTCCACCACTTCTGTGGGCAGCCTGTTCCAATGTCCCATCCCACAGCAAACCTCAGTTCTGTGAGGCAGCCTCCACGGAAATCCACATCTTCTATGCCTACCGTGAGGAAGCTGCCTCATGCTTTTCTACAGTCATCCCAAACAACTAAGGAATTTCTTGGCAATTTCCAAGGGGAACTTAATTTAGATTTGACCTAAGAACCTCCATTCCTTACATTACTGCTGTCCTGCTAATCTCTAGGCTGTAGATTACTGCAATATGACCACAAAGTCTGGGAAGAAAAGGACAAAGAAGAAGAGAAAGGGAAATAATGAAGTCCTCTGGAAATCACACAAAGGACACTCTTTCTGGCTGAACCAAGATCAAGAATGTGATTTGTAATTAAAATGAACCTCACTCTCATAAAAAAGTTGTTGGACAGGAAAAGTGATTTTCAGTAGCTTTAAGAAGGAAGTTGGGTAATTTAAACTTTATTCTCTACGGGTGGAAGGTAAGGGGAAAAAAGGTAATGGGGGGGCATAGTCCACCTCAGTCAGGAACTTGGTAATTTTCCGAGTTCTTGCAAACCATGGCTGTGCCTCTCCATAACAGGAGCTGCAGGTCTCTGTAGGGGATTTTGGTAGTTCCCCTCCAGTTGTCCTGCTGGCATGGGACACCATCATTTCCCCCATTCCATCTGTACCACGTACATCCAAATCAAGCAATTTACCAGATCAATTCCTCCACCCAACTTTGGCAAAAGGACCACAGCTCTGGAGCCAGAGTTGTTCTTGTGCCATCTGCACCTTGACTGAAATAATTTAAAGGATCTGGGTTACATTTACCCTCAAGTTTAAAGTTTGCAACCCCTGTTCCTCAACCCCAGTTTATTTTAGCTTGAGGTTCCTATTTTATTTCCAAACAATAACTTTCCATAAAGCACCTGTGCTAACCCTAACCAAAAGTAACCCCAAGCCCTATGGTACTTTCACAGTGGCTGATCAGACAATGAAATTGCTCACTGAGTCCACGCCCTACTATCAGTCAAACTTCGTAGCAATTATTTGTAATACAGCAATTTGATAACAATTATTTGCAGCAAACCCTTCTCCTGTGTTCTCTGTACTTAGCAAGCTCTGCTTTGCAGCATCTTCTGGTTGTCTTAAGATGCTTTGGCAGATTTTTATTATGATTTTTGTCTCCTCAATTCTATTTATTGCAGGAGGACTCATGCATGCCTCAGGACAAACTCAGAGGGGAGCACAATTTGCAACCAAATGAGTATGTGCATCCTCAAGGAATGGCTCTAGCAAGGCTCCACCCTGACCAAAATCCCTTATTCACAGGGAAGGCAGCAGTTCTCAGATTAGTAATTCTGGGCTAGCATGTGTCTACATTTACATGGTAGATATGAACAAAAGCCATAAATCAAGAGCTAAAACTGTGCTGTGTCACCTATAGATCTGTATTATATATTTTCATGCAAAAAACCAAGGCCACACAATGCTCATTAACAACTATTGCATCCACCTGTAGATTGATGCAGTTGGAAAAAACATTTCCAAGCATTCAAATCCTTCTCTGGACACCTTTTTAATATTAGGAAATACTAGAAAGTGACATCTGATGGTAGTGTTTTGTTAGTACCCTGTGTCTCTGCAGTCCTGAAGTAGCTGCAAGGAGAATTGAACAAGTTGAAGTCTGGAGAGGAAAACAAATATCCCTATTTCTGGAAACACTGCAGCAACAACACTTTGTTCTCACTAAATTTGTGCTTCTTCCTTGTGGTTTGTTCTCATGCCATTGTGAGCCTCTTCTCAATATAGTATTTCTATTTCACATCCAAAACAAACCAAGAGAAAAAACAGAAAACAGAGCACATACTAGGAAAGAAGAAAAAAGAATGCGCGGGTGGTCACTGGAAAAGGCTGTTGAGTTTCCATCATGCTAGATTTCCAAAAACCCAGCTGGACACGGTCCTGAGCAGTCTGACCCTGCTTTGAGCAACAGGGTTGGGCCAGCTGATCTCCAGAGGTTCCTGCCAGCCTCAGTGAAGCGTGGGCACAAAGAGCTGTTCCCAGCTCTTTGCTCTATGCAGGTCTTGGGCAGCATCCTCAACAGCAAAACAAGCCTGTGTAGAGACTTCCACAGCCTTTAGCTGGTTTCTGGTAGAGCTTAACATGAAGGAAGTCACAAAGTACTGGAGATCTATGAGCCTCTGGGGCAGTTCTGGCTAAGAGCTGTGACAAGCTGACTTTTTTTACCATAAAAGACAATTTCTGAACAATGTTTGCTCTAATGAGTAATAAATTAGGCTTTTACAAGTAAGGATTATCGAAGTTTTACTAATACTTCCATCAAAAAGGGTTCATGCTAGGTAGTTTGGGCATTCAAGTGACAGAATTAGAAAATCTTGGGTCCTTCCTTCCAAGCCAAACCATTCTATGGAGTCTAAAACCTATACGTAGTCCATAAGAGACAATGATAGCCCCAAAAGCCCATAGTCCTAATCACTCACTCCCATCTGGGTGACAAGAGTAGCTTTTCTAAATCCATTTAATAAAGGCAGCTACAGAAAACAGGATCACAGAAAATTTCAAAACTGCTAGAAACCTTACTGAGCTGGAAAGCTGATGAAAACACCAAGAAACCTAAAAAAACCCCCCAACCAACCAATCAACCAAAACAAAAAAAACCTGACAAAACAAAAACAAACCCAAAAAACCCCAACATAAAAAGACCAAACCAGCCAAACAAACCCCACCCCCAAAACAAACCCCTGTTTTTTTTAAAAGAGGTCAAGGGTTGAGCAAAACTAAAATCATAGGAAGTTTTGAATAGGACCAGATCTGGAGTATTTGCTGGACATTTCTAACAGTCATCACAGAATGGTTTGAGCGGAAAGGACCCTATAAATCATCCTGCTTCAACCCCTTTCTGTGGGGGCAGTTCTGGGCTTCAAAAATTATACATGGCCATTTGATTACTCTTCAGTCCACATTGCTTGAAAACTTAATACCTTTTCTTTACCAAATAATTCAAAGACCCTTTTCTCTAGCATTAACGAGCAAGTTCCCAGGTACTGATTTTCCTATTTGAACACTTCAGCAACTTTTCATCAAAGTACAGTGAAAACATCACCCCCTCAAACCCATCCAAGATGACTAACCATCTCTTCATGCCAGTCGTAGCTCTACATGCCTCAAGGTACCACCAACTTGTTGTTTTTTATTTTCACAGTTTAAATCCTTAGCATACCAATGCAACTCTCAATTCATTGCCTGTATTGGAAATACGAGGCCACTAGATTTCAACCTGCAGCATCTGTGCTGATTGGAGAGAAAAGACAAATGATAGAAAACACTATATTCCTTGTCAATCCCAGTTAATTCTCCTCAATCTTACTACTGATTTTTTTTCATGCTTTTTTTTTTTTTTTTTCCCTTCCTTCCCTGTCAGTGTCAAGATCCTGGCTCAGGTTGCCCAGAGAAGCTGTGGCTGCTCCATCTCTGGAAGTGTTCAAGGCCAGGCTGGACAGGACTTGGAGCAACCTGGTCTAGTGGAAGGTGTCCCTCCCATGGCTGGAGGGTTGAACTGGATGAGTTTTATGGTCCATTCCAACCCAAACCATTTGATGGTGATACTCTGCCTCTTTACCAGACCGATGCCCCACAACAATTTCTTCTTGCAAAGAAACCTACAAATACACTTAAAGGTACTTCTTCCCTAACTTTCTCTTTGATAAGCTATGTTAAGCTCTAATTTTATCATAAGTGTTTCTTTTCTACTGGGAGAAAAAAGGTTCTAAGATTCTCAGGACAGTCTCTGAGTAGGGGAAAAACTCAGTCCGACAGTGTGGAAGGAAACCGTGCACAGGTTAGCAAACATTCTTCATGGTTTACTTCAAAACTTAGGGAAAGGAGCCAAGCACAGACACACAGGTGCTAAACATACTTTTTTTCCAATACAGGAAAACCCCAAAGCAGTACTTTTTTCTAGTTCATTACCCTAAATTATGATAAGTCTTCTCTGGATTGAATATTGCCAAATTAAAATAATCTGCCTTTAAGAGCACCTGTGGGGATGCACAACCACCCTCACCCGTGAAATCATTAGACTTCAGGAACTATTTCTGCATTAGAAACAAAAGCATATAGTCTTAATTCAAGTTTTTTTTACTTTTTAAAATTTTAGATAGGTGGACTTGGGGTTTTTGTTTGTTTTAAAAATCTCATTGATTTAATCATGTGTCCTGTTCAAAGGGCCCTAAGGGCCCTTTTTCTATTTTTGCCCTGAAATTTCAAAAGTTTATTTTGTCAGCGGGAGAAAGTCTAAGACTGAAAATACAGTTACCACAATGGTTTAATCTTTCTAGAAAACATGCAGTCTTCTGTGATTCCCTGAATCTTTAAAGCAGACATAAATCCCTCCTAATTCCAGTACTTCCTCTAACTTCAGTTCACTTTCTTAGCATTTTTTGGAAAATTCATATGTTACTGCAGTACCAGAGCACGTTTGTTAAACTGCTGAATTCAAAACAACTCATTAATGCCATTTCACTTGCTCTACAATTTACCCACAGCTTTCTGATAAGATACAAGTCTATTGCAAATGCCCAGTACCAAAAATTATCACCACCATACCTACTCTTTCTTCTATTCCAAGAAGGGACATCAAATTAATTTCAGGAATGAAGATGCAACTTATAAGGGGCATGGGATATGCAAATATTTTTTTACATACTGATGGTTTATTTTTAGCAAGGGCTATTTTATAGGGCTGTGAGACGTGGATACATGGCTGCAGGGGGATGAAGTATCCCAAGGGCAGGTAAGAAAAAGCTGCACATCTGCCAGGCAGGACAAAAGAAGAGGTACTGATTCCTGGAGTTCATGCAAAGGAGAGAAGACTAAATGCTCCAAGCACTTTGTCTTCAAAAATCAAGTAAAAAAATATATATATCTATCCTACATTTTAGCTCATCTTGTCTACTTCTTATTTGTAAAGGTATTCATATGATGAAGTGCTGAAACAGACAAATTCAATAAAAGAATCTGAAAAAAACGAAGTTGAAATTTGGGAAAGCAGCAAGAGAAGTGTGTAAAGGATGAACACACTGATTATGAAAGCTCCTTTTTCTAAATTTCTTACATCACCCCTAGACATCCCCACCATGTGCTTCAACTTGTCAACCTTAAATCAATCATGTCTCATAGAAAAATGAAAAGCTTTCAGGTGCTAAAACAATTTTCTGCCTTCAAAGAACTTCCAAATAGTCCACTGTAGTTGTCCATACCTTTGCTCCAGTCATCACTAAAGAGGTAAAAAAAGTCTTGCATAAAACATCAGAATAAATTGGACCAGAACTCCACAATACAGTGAATGCATTAGGTGTTGAATTCACCTTAGGCCATTTCTTGGTATCTATTTTTGGCTGGGGAGAGCATGTACCTTCACCTAAAACTGAAACTGTAACTGGGCAATGTTCTTAGTCACGAGTACTTACAAAACATCTTGTTCTCTCTTATATTCTCACGGCCTTCCAGTCCTGGATATGCCAGGGACACTCAAAGCACTGCAAGAGCCCAGATGACAATGGAAATTTGATACAAGCCAAAAGAACTGTGTGTGTCACCTGCTTGGGGCCTTTCACAACTGGGTATGGAAATACAGACCATTCCTTATGCTGACTTATGCAAAGCACAACAGACTGTCCACTGCCAGTAACATCACTATTAACCACTTGTTGTCCTTCTGTAGCAATGTGGAACTTTCACAACTTAGAGCATAACTTCTTCACTTTTGTTGATTGCTGTGATTTCATTAAAACAAGAATAAAATCTCCTGAATAGTTATCAAAACCTTAACTACCTACAGTGATATACTGGCAGGGTTATTATTTAACTTAAGAAAGGTGTAATGTTTAATTTATAACAATATTATTTTCTTCAATCCTGAGCATTATGAACAGCAGAACCCAAACCAATACTTATTTCAATACAAAGGTAACAAAAAAAATTATTAGTTTCATAACCCACTATTCCAGTATTTGCATGTCAAATTTATCAGGACATTTCTCCACAATTATAAACTACATTATTTTGGAACTAACGCTGATGGAAAAAGAAAACAGAAGGAAAAAAGAAGTATATGAGGGTCCTAGTGACTAAGTTTAGAAGATAACTGAGGTTAGAGAAAACCAAGAGCCCCCTCTAGGGGTTACTGCGAGTTCTAACATTGGTGGATACTCAGGACAGGTAAGATAAATGGTTTTTAGGGTTTGTATTTTTCAGTTTGAGTTACTCCAATTGGAATTTCACCTTAACGACAATATCAACAGTAAAATGACAACTTTAAAAAAAAAAAAATGACGCAAAAAGCTGTATTAGACTTTGGATGAAATCTACTTACAGTACTTCAGCACCAAAACGTGGGCAGTTAGGCTTATACATGTATATACAATTAAATGATATGTCAAAGTCATAAAACGCTTAGTTATTTATAATGAAATCTATACAAAAAAGTTAAAAACATGGTTTTATATACATTTTGGAAAAAAAATGTATTGTCTTGATTACCAGAATGTATTAAAACTGGTTCTCTTGTCCCATCTGAACCCAAACCACTCTCTGTGACTTGTAACTATCACAAAACCCGAATGTATTGCTTCAACAAGCCAAGACTAAGGCTAATTTTGGAAACCTACCATTGTACACCCATTTAAGCTTTTAAACTCCCCAAATTGTCAATCTTAAAAACAGCATGTAAGAGTAAAATATAGATTTTTAAAAGTCTTAGCTCACTTCTAAATTCTCAAGTTCAACTTGGAAAGATGTTGAACTATTTATCCCCAATTTTGAAAAACTGGTTAATAGCAAAATACACCTCCTTCTCCCCGGTTTGTACTAGAATACAACTGCCTGTTTCACAGGAACCTTTTTCAACAACTTGTCTCACTTTAAATTTTATATTTAAATAAATAATCAAATGTTAACTAGAATAGATGAGCATTTTGTATGCTTATGGCACAAAGAAATGCCTCATCTACCATTACCCTACTTCTTGTAAAGCATGAAAACAAAACTCCACTAGCAAATCCACTTTGCTACTTAGCAGTTTTGCTTATTTCCAGGTATTTACCAGCAATAATTTTTAAAAAATATTTTAAGCTTCTGAAAAAATTTTTAAGTGAGCACAAGTGCAAGAAAGCTAACCAATTCCAAAATTCCTGGGGCTTTTCCAGCACTGTCAGAGACATTTTTTCTCTCACATGCTATTTGAAAATAAAAATATTTATTAAACATTTTCCATTTTTTCAATGGTGTTTTGCTCAACGACCAAAAAGACACAGCAAAATAATGATCCCTTTTCACTTAAAGCTGTTTCAGTATCTGGGCAAGGGCTTCAATAGCACAAGCTGTAGAACTCATTGCAGATTTGTTTCTGAACAGGAGTACATTCCACTGTCACAGGTTTACTAAATCTTGGTACCTACATTTCTTTCTTTTTCCAAAACAATTTTTAAGATGCAGCTTTTGCAATACTGTCTTGTTAAAACATACTGAAGCTTCAAGAGTCCAATGAACAATTCTAATAGGCAAAGTGCTCTAAGACATCACAATAGAAGGGCATCTTGGATGCTCAAAATCCCAAGATATTTTAAAGTGCACTCCAGTGTCCCTATTCCTTAGGATTGTTCAGCAGAACTTTGAGAGGGGCTGGGCTCAGTGCCATCCTCAGTGCTACTGTCCACATCTTGCTCCATTGCTGTCTCCTCATCATCGAGGCGCTGACTGGTGAAGTTGTTGAGCTCCAGGAGCCCGCTGGGTTCCACCACCACATTGGAGCTGGAGTGACAAGGGATGGAATAGTGAGGGATAGTCTGAAAGAAAGAAAATAAATTTAAGTTTAATGAACAATTTTGAAGGAAAAGGCATCTGTGCAAGCACAGGGATTTGTGGAAAAGGGATTATTTGGTTTCCAAGGGCAATTTTCCCTAACTAAGGCTTCAAAGCACCCTTTTGCAGGACTGGGTTGTGAAAGGTGAAATTTGAATAATCTTGCTCTCCAAGCAGTGATCTTGGCCTTTGATCGTCCCTAAAGGTCTGTGACAGCATAACCAATGCCCATCATCCACCATTCTGCAAACCCAAAGCAGAGATAATATTTTCTTCAGCCTGATCTTTTTCAGACAAGATGTACCAATGAAAGAATTAACCTGACTTAAAATGACCCACAAGGACCATCGAGTCCAACTCCTGGCCCTGCAAAGGACAGGACAACCCCAAGAATCCCACCAGGCAGTGCACTGTCCAAGCCCTCCATGAGGACTATGTTTTTTGCATACAACAGAGTTCAAGCTCTGGCCCTGCTCAGAGCTGCAGCTCAGAGGCTGAGGAAAAACAATAGCTATTAATTTCTATTATTATTATGGTTATGATGTTATTTATTTTTACTTATACTTTCATAAGTTAGAAGATAAACCTCTGACTTTATACAACTGAAATTCTGGCCATTATTTGACTTGTGAAACTGCTCATAGCATGCCACAATGATAAATAGTACCAATTTTCAAAAGATACAGGTTTGAAGTAAAACAGAAATCTACCTTTGTCTATTGTCTATAAGGAGGACTAAAAATGAATACAGAACTTGCAATTTCTACAAAAGAGAAGTTAGCTTCAGTAAAGACTTCACAAAATAGCATGAAAAATTTGAAACCTCTGC